TTTTTTTGTAGGTGGCAATTCAATTTTTTCCAGCACTATTTGCTCAAAAGATGATTTCTTCCCATAATGTGTTTTAGTATTTCATTAAATATCAGGTGTCTTTGGTGCTTGATTTTATTTCCGAGTTCTTTGTTCTAGCCCATTGGTCTGCATATCTATCATTGGACCAATACCAAGCTGTTTCATTACTGTGCCCATTTAATAGGCTCCTACTTTGCTTTCAGTAGTGTCTTGTTTATCCTGTGTTTCTCTCCTTTCCATATAAAGATGGTGATTAGTTTTTACATTTATTTGAAGAATTGTGCTGGGATTTGGATTGGAATTGCATTGTATTTATAGTTTACTTTGAGTAATATTGACATTTTCACTACATTAAGTCTTTCTATTCATTAACATGGCACATTCTTCCATTTATTTAAGTCTCTTTTGGTATTTCTTCAAACACAAATTTATTCATTCTTCCAGCAGTTCATGAATATATCATTTGTGTAAATAGTGTTCAGTCACATAAGGATTTAATGTCTACAAGTCAATAATCCACGTATTGTTATTTGTAACCAACCTACACTTTAATATCCTTTCCTCAAATGTATTTTAAATACATTACTATGGGATAAATCAGCTACAAACAGAAGGACCTGTGCTCCAGGAAGATGATTGATATGTTCTCTAATATAAAATAGCAAATATGTCTCTAAGGTAAACCAAAAGCATACATAAAACATAGATATAAGAATGGATTTTGGGCTCCAGTCCTAGCTCCAATCTAAGAACAATTACTTCTTGTATTAGTCTAGGTAGAACAGAGGAAAAAAAATCATGGAGACACTCATATGTATATAACAGAGAGGTTTATATACAAGAGCAATTGAACATTGAGAAAACATCTCAACCCAGCCCAGATCAAGTCCATAAGTCCGATATTAACCCATATGTCCTACAGAAATCTATAAAGTCCTCTTCAGACTCACAAAACATATGCAATGATGCTGAATGCAAGAAGATCACCAGCCAGTGAGTGGGAATTCTTGTAAATCCAGTGGCATTGGAACATCTCAGTGCTGACAGTGGTCTTCACATGGCTTCTCAAGGTCCAGAGTTCTGGATGCATCAGGGTAGGTCCATGTGGCTTCTCAGGGATGTCTCACAGAGAATGAGCAAAGAGAGAAATTATCTCCCGTCTTCAAGGAGGAAAATTAGAATTTACCAGAATTCTCAGGAGAAGGCCATGCCCATACAGATGCCTCATTGGCCATGATCTGATTGACAGACTAGACTCTACCCCTACATTCTTAATCCTTAAATTGACAATTATATCACTACCACACTTCTTATGGCATGGCCTTGCTCAATATTCACCCTCATGAAGGAAACACAGAAGATATGGGTGTTACAGCAGGTGTGGGGAAGAAACTAGATGGTGTCAGCTATCAGAAAATATAGCACCGGAATCTTAAAGGGTTATTTTCAAATAAGCAGGCATCTAAGTGAGACATCCACATGAAAGAAGCACA